CCACAACACAAGAACGATAGATGGCCTCAACACTTTTCATGGCATGGGCATAATAGCTGGAATTACGCCTGGTACGAAGAGAACACAACCCATTCCTAGAATAGCTTTTTCTACTGATGAAATAAAGGCATTAGCAAAGATAGAGATCATATATTACAAACCTCAATCAGATCGCATGGCTGAATTAAGTTATGCTGAGTTGAAAAACTTAAACACACTGGATAAGACTTTTCGTCTTGATCTGCTGTCGGTTATTGTTTGGCCTTTTAAGTATCCAATACCAATGCGGTCTGGCTTCATGCAGATGGTTCAGACAGGAGACTACCCAGGAAAATCATCGGTTTCATTCCTGCCTATGATAGATTTAAATGCTTCGGACATGACCTGTATTTATTCCACATTGAACTTCGTCGCCAAACAAGCAAAGCGTTATGACATAACAGCAATCTTGACGTTTGATCAACCTCTGTATTGGAAAGCCTTCTCAATTATTGAAAACGAAAATCCAGGAAGCACCTTGAAGTCTATGGTTTTAAGATTAGGACCATTCCACACAGAGATGAGCTTCCTCGGCTCAATAGGGAATTTTATGAGTAATACTGGTTTGAAAGAGATGTTAGAACTCATATACGCTCCGAATACCGTCACGCATATCCTTAGCGGAAAAGCTGTAGCTAGAGCTTTTAGAGGTCACATGTTGGTGGTTACAGCACTGTATTGTTTGTTGATTGCAGAGATATTCAATATTGACGTATCTAAACTTTTGGAAGAACCCAATTCAACCCTTGAAACAACTGAAATGAAGGAAATTGATGAATTATATTCCCAATTATCCTCTGGAGAGCTGTCAGCTTCAGAGGCGGGTGAATCGGACGTCTTGAAAAACCTAGAAACAACGGTCCGGAGAAAAACTGAAATTTTAAAGCAAAGTCGTACAGCAAAGTTGTGGCTGCAATATTCAGAAATGGTTCAGGTTTTAAGACAATTTATCAAAGCAGAGAGAACCGGTAACTGGCCTCTTCATTTGCAAAGCATCCAAGCAATGTTGCCCTTTTTGGCTGCATCTGGACATAATCTGTACACGAAAACAGCATACGTTTACTTAATGACAATGCAATCTTTAGACAAAGACCATCCTGATGTGTATGCTAATTTTATCAATGGGAATCATGTCATAAGACGCAGCAATAGGTACTGGGCTGGAATATCTTCAGATCTATTTATAGAACAAGTCCTAATGAGAAGTGTGAAAACAGCGGGTGGATTGACGAGAGGTCGAGGAATGACTGAAAGCCAGCGTTCCCTTTGGCTTATGTCCATGCCAGCATGTGCTGAGATTAATCAAGCTATGCAGGATTTGTCCGGGGTAGGATACTTTTCTAGTGAACAACACAAAGACGAAACACATGCAAGACAAAAAAAGGACACTAACGACATTCAAACTCTTCTCACGTTCTTGAAAAGTCGGAATCCATTCATTGATTCAGAGGTAGACCGTTCACTACGAAACATTGAGACAGGAGTAGTAGCTGATAAAACCGTGAATGTGGATGATGCCAAAAAGGTTGGGACTTCCATTCTACAAGAACTAGTAGGAAAGAATATAGCTGACCACACGTTTAGGAGAAAGAAACAAGCCATTACGCTTGGAAACAAAGTTCAGGCAAAACTTGACGGCGAACCTATCAGAATAGATTCACAGCTCCTTTTTCAGAGATGCACCACTGCTGCGCATGGTATTTTCGAAGATATTTCAGAGATATTTCAATTTGAATTATGCGGAGTTCCTTCATCAATATTTGAAACCACGGGCCTTTTAAGAGAACCCCAAAAATCAACCCTTGCCGAATATATGTGGAATTTGATTGAACTTAAACCAAAAGCACCAACAGAAACCCACTTTGTACTTGATGGTGGTTCTCTTATACACCGTTTACCATGGACAAAAGGAGCTACAGTTGACACCATATGTATGACTTACGTCAATTATGTAAGCAATCACTATAAAGATGCAACTGTTGTGTTTGACGGATATCCATCAGTTCCAACTACAAAAGATGTAACTCATTTCAGACGTACTAAAGGAATCATATCTCCAAAAGTCAATTTTAACAATGACACACCAATTAAAACAAAAAAAGATGAATTTCTTTCAAATTCAGAAAATAAACAGCACTTTATCAATACCCTTGGAGAAAAACTTAAGGACGGACATGTTCAAGTTATCCATGCAGAAGACGATGCCGATCTAAAGATTGTGCTTACAGCAATAGAAAAGTCGGCACAACATACAACTACCGTCATAGGAGAGGACACTGACCTACTCATACTGCTCTGTTATCATTCAAAAGATACTATAAACAAGATTTACTTCAAATCAGAAGCCAAGCAAAACACTCACAAAATAAAGATTTGGGACATAACAGAGACAAGGAGAAAAATTGGACCACTTGTTTGCAATATTTTGCCATTCATTCACGCCTTTAGCGGATGCGACACAACATCTCGAATTTTTGGTCAAGGCAAGGGCACGGTTTTCAAGAAAATTAGTGCTAACATTAAATTACAAGATCATGCAGCTGTCTTTTGCCAGGAGTCTAATGTCGAGAGCCTTCATAAAGCAGGAGAACAAATCTTTGTTGCATTATATGGAGGGTTACAAGATGTTGAAACATTAGATATGCTGCGCTACAGAATATTCGCCTCTAAAGTTTGCGTTGGAAATATATATGTACAAGTGCACACTCTCCCACCAACATCTGACGCTGCTAAGCTACATTGCATGAGAGTTTATCATCAAACCCAAGTTTGGATTGGGAAAGGTGATAAATTAGATCCAAAGGACTGGGGTTGGCATGTTGAGGACAATAAATTGCTTCCAATTAGAGCAATACTACCACCGGCTCCCGAAAAGCTTCTTCGGATAATCAGATGTAATTGCAAATTGAACTGTGACACAAAACGATGCTCCTGTCGTAAACACGGAATAGACTGTTCCCCAGCATGTGGGGAATGTCGGGGAATGAATTGTTCAAATACAAGTAACATTACAGAAGCCGATGAACTTGACGACATGTGAAGGCATCAATATGCATGTACATTGCAGAGACATTTAACTATACATTGAGAAGACTTATATCAAAATTGTCTGTTTTTTGTTAAATTAAAACAAAATCAAATATTTTCAAAGATAAATTTTTCAGAAATTATATTTACCATCCTAATACTTTTAGGTGAAAACAAAAGTAACCAAGTAAAAAACAAAGTAATCAATTATTGAACAGTTAAGGCCATTTATTATATTAATTCAATGAATGTTATAACAAATCTAACATTAATACATTTTATGTAGAAATTTATTTCATTTTTTTTTTGTGGGGGGGAGGGGGGGTAATTTTGGACTTATTTCGTTGATAGATAAATAGATTTTCCTTAAAACAACCGTTTGCTTTCTTTTTTCACTTCGTAAATAATTGTAAATAATTGTGTTAAATGTTGTCCTTCAAAGCTGCCTTCAAAATAAAACGTTTGAAAACAGCTATATATGAATCTCAAATATATGGGTTTTTTTTGCATTTTTTTTTGTGATTTTATCATTAAAAGGAATAATTTTACCAATAAATTCTAACTCTGGATTGTAAATTTTACATCGGAAATGTTCTTTGTAGTTGTTTTAGTCATCTGAATTCGTTTTTGACATTTGATTGGCTAACATAGTGCCATAATTTCGGTTTCAAAATTTTTTCACAATTTCCATCGATTTTTGGTTAAAATCAATGTTTTTAGCCCAAAATGGTGATTTCCGATCGTACGATTTTTCTAGACTTTTCATACATGATTGTGTCATGCTTTGGTATTATAAAACCGTTGAAACCATTTCTGTTGCAATTTGTTTAGATTTATGCAATATTTGCCGTAGACAGACTAGACTATAGAGGCTTTTTTGTGGAATTTAATTTAACAATATACTTGGTCATTTAATGAGACATAATTAATGTTACAATTTACGGTTACAGAAACCCGTGACAAGTTTGTTGTTTTAGTTTGAACTGAACTTTCCTGATTTCTTTTTGGTTAAAAAATATTTTTGATGTAATAAAGTAATAAATCATTATTTATACACAAAAATAGGTGAAAAATAGATCAATGCATGCCTTTTCCAATATATATGTCATTATATTGTCACTTGAGTGATATCTAACCTCTGACAGAATTGTAAATATCATACCTTTTCCTTTTCCTTCCACCATTTACCCCGATTGACCTCAACGTAACTTACAAGGCCTACATATTGTATTAATTGTAAATGTGTTCTTGTCCTGAATATGGATTGAATATTACCTACCGGACAAAAAGCAAGTAACGCTCAATCAATCTTCCGATCAATGTAAAGCTGTGAACATTTTATTCAAAAGAATACTAATGATAAAAGTAATCACTCAGAATCAAAGTCAGGGTACAGGAAATTGGTTATGTTACATGATTTTCTGGTTAAATGATGGAGAATAACTAAAGAGTCACCGAATTTGCTGTTTCTGTATATATCCCCAAAAATGGTGTTCAAAATAACAAACAATACCACTTAACAGCGAAATAAGCGCAACATCATCTCGTTGTACGCCGTTTACGTACTAGGTTATAGATTGGTTATAGTACATCAAAAGAGATGATTGTAAGACAAATGTGCTTAAATTTTCTTGATGTCATGCTGTAATGTTTAAGAAAATAATAGAGATAAATGATTTTTTTTTTCGAATTTCAGTTCAAAATTCATCATACCACAGCTGGATACAAATTTTGGCAAAAATCTGTGACAAGACCCACGGAATGACATTTGACCTTTAAACTAAAAGGAAATTAATACATAAAACTCTTGTGTTGAAAAAAGCAAGTAGATTAGACACCTGCAACATTGGTTGTGCTCACAATTATACAGATTGAGTGCATTTCATCCCTATATAATCATGTAATATTAATTTTTGATTCGTTGACATTCTTACCCGTTTCCCAAACATTTTTTTCTTTTACAAACGCATTGTGCCAATTGTTCCCCTCGTCTACGTCTTGTTCTGAAATACATACATGGCTTGTTGGGGTGTAAGTTGGTAGATAATCTTTTCTTTCTAGACACTTTCTTTGTGCTTGATACCAATTCAAAAGTATTTGGTAACACCATTTCGTTAACACTTGTTTCCTCCCACGTGAACCTAAAAAAATAATTTAATAATTTTAATGAAATGGATTTGTTCATTACTATAAAAGACTGTCGAAATCATTAACTGATATTTCATCTATTTTAGTACATCAAAAAGTTAAACAAAAGTTTCCAATTTAATTTCTAGTTTTAAACGGAAGATTATGCAACATGGAGAAGAATTGTTCAATGGCATTTTGTAGTATAAATTTACAAATGGTTGTTTACAAAAGACAGCTGTCGGTACTATAAAGTGTATGTTGTTAACATTAATCGGCTGTCATTACTATAAGGTGTATGCATCATCGGATGCTGTGAAATGAGTTATCACTGGTAATTGTTTTCACTACTGAAACGGTCATTTTAAACGGAACAACTCTTAATCAATTTTGACATAAAAAAGTTTGTGCAGATTTATAAGGCTTGTCTCCCTTTATTCGAGCTTAGACTATAATTTTCAGTACATTCTACAATTTTATGACTTTATATATTTTGCTGAATAAATCGCAAATGTCAAATATATTTTGTTATTGTAAATACCAATTTTGACACGTAGATTTATGAGCATTCACTTTGCAATTTATATTTGTTTTATGTTTATTCGAATACATAATCATTAAATATATAAACCTGTTAAATGTGACACATTTTTTTTAAAGATCAGTCCCATTATAAATATTGCAAATACGTCATAAAAACCTCAGCTTGATTAAGATTTTGACCCTATATGAATCTTTGCAAAAATCTTACTATGACGTATAAAAAAATATATATAATATTAAAACTATTCAAGACATTTTTGTATCAACTTGTATATATAAAAATATAATTTAAAGAGGAGGACGACATTTTGCACATAAGTATTTTTTTTAAATACACAATATCTTGCAAAATTTCGTGTCAGTAAACGTAATTGGGATCCTTCTAAAAATAATATAATATAAAACACTGATTATATAATAATTGGAACAAATTAGGAGATATGTATATTTTTTTCCGATTATATTATGATTCAATTAAACACCTAAAAGATCATTCATAATAAAATTTAGAATTCCGTAAAAAATTACCTAACACAAATGCAAGAAATGTGAGAGGGTGTGGATGTGGGTTTGCAGAATTGAGAATAATGGGCAAAAAATATAAAGAATAGAGAAAAATGGACAAAAATGGACAAAAAAAATAAAGAATAGAGAAAAAAAAGTATTAAGAACAGAAAAAAAACGACTTAAGAAATTAAAGAATGCAGACTGAATGAAGGATCCCCCCCAATCCAGACCCCAGACCCTCATGTTACACCGATTTGTGAATTATTCTATAGCTATAACACATTCATTTGTTAACTTCTATGTCATTTGGTCTCTGGTGAAGAGTTACTTCATTGGCAATCATACCACGCATTTTTATTTTTATATATAACATTTCAAATAGTTCAGAACATGTCTATACAGTGTCTCATAAGTCAACTTTTGCTCGGAATTGGTCTTTTTTTACTGTGCGGTGTGTATCGGTATTCTATGTATTATACTTTTCATGCAACCAGCTATAGAATTGAATCCTATATAAATCCTTGTAAAACACACTGATAGTAAAATCGGTCGAGGATCCAGAGATCGTAGAGGGCCTTTGATGCTAATAAAATGTCATGTTTCTCACTATCTATATGACGTTGTAGCATAACATCGTACAACCAAAAACGTTCTTTGAAATTAAGCCCCCCAGTCCCCTTTTCAAAAATCCTGGATCCGCCGCTGAAAATACATTAGTATGATTATTCCTAGGTATTACATACATGTAAGGTTATTTACTCGACCCCAAAATAAATAAATGAATAAATAGATATACACTTTTCTTCAGAAATAGTTTATTTTCTCGTTTATACTACAAGCTCTTGAAAGACGTGTAGGCCTAAAAGTTTTGTTATTTGCTTGTCGGTGGAAAAACGAGTTGGTTGATAGTTGTCTCATTGGCATCATACCACATCTTCTTGTCTTGAATAAGTCTGTCAATGCCAGTGGCCGTTTATAATGAATAACAATATTAATCAAATAATGTTCCTGTATAGTAATTACGTCATCCAAATATCAGTTATCCTTACTGTATACACCAGAGAGTCTGAAATATTTTATATTGTACACTTTTGTTTCAAGCTTTCTGTTTATTTTCTCCTTGTATTGTGTTTGATTTGTTCTTTTACTGAGTAAAAATTAAATTTTTTGAGCATTTACTTAAACAGAAAAAATCAAAGATCTGCATCAACACCCATTTCATTTTTTCATTAAAATTCGTATTGAACATGCATGTAGTATTTGTCACTGGACGTTGAACAATTATCAATCGATCATTTTCATGAAATGACATTATGTTTTGAAGCTCAAAATAAATACATATGTATGTAGTGAAGCTGTGATACTGTGTTTTTCTTTAAGAGTAAAAGATTTAAAAAAAAAATGATTAAATTTCTATTGAAAAATATTTGAAAAGAAAACGCTTATTAGGAATCTCTAACTCCAGTCCAACATATTCGCTCATCATAGGCTGTGTTTATGTGAATTCATTTCAGAAATGAGAGACAGTCTAAAAAAGTGTAACTTCGGGGTGGCTGGGATAATTTCAATTTGGCAAAAAACTATAAGATCAGCTGTCTATGGAGAATACAGTCATGAAGCCATTACTGTGAACGTATACCCAAATCTTCCATACATGTAGGTTTACATACAAGTTATTATGATCTAATTTTATATAATCTTAACGAAAATCCTATATCTGAAACTTAAGTATATTTCTTGCAATGTGTATTTTTGACAAATAGTTGGTAGATCAAGCTCAGAAAACTTAACATGACTGTTGTATAGAAATATACCTGTAGATCTACAAATAAAGTTATTTGATGCATTAATATCTCCTGTATTGCTGTATGGTTCCGAAATATGGGGATTTGAAAATACAAGTTTATTAAAAACGGTCATCTCTAGTTTTGTAAAAGAGTGTTACATGTCATGCATGTTAGAACCAGCACTCCGGTTATATGGTATACGGTGAACTTGAGGGATGGTGCCTCTAGATTGTCAAATAACAACAAAAATAATTTCTTTCTGGTGAAGACTTCAGCAGTGCTAGAATAAATTATCAAACATGCTTTACAAATTGATGCTTAAATTGTCCGAACATCGATAGTACAAATTCACACGAGGGACATTTACATTCCTTTAAAAAAACGGAATTTCGGTTACAGTCATATCTGTCGAAACTGTCAAGTTCTAGTCGAAATTATAAACGGAAGGTAGCATATCATACCACGCGATGAAATATTCTGCACTTTAATCGAAGATCGCTTAATTTGAGACGAATTCCATTATTTATTCATTTGTAATCATTCTTCAGTTGCACACGTTCGTTCAAAATTAATATTGCCGTAGTTTACTAATATTCCATCAAATTATAAAATGTATGGTTTTTTATCGCACTGTAATATTTCTCTTTTGAATAAGCTAGCTGTATTCATCTTAAAAATATCATCACTATGCTAATGCATTGAAATTTGATCATTCTCTCATCGATGTCACTACATTACACTAAGGAATCAGTCTTGATAAGAGAAAAAAATAAAATTAAATTAAAAGATGTGGTTAAGAGAAATGCAAAGAGATAAGAATAATTTTACATGTTACAAAGTTTCAGGGATTTGTTCTAAAATTGACAGGTTTTAAGCTGATATTAGATATATTCATAAAACAAAGAAATGAAACATATTCTATATAATAAGTCTGATCATAAAATTGTTCAAGTAAGCATTCAGTTCAAGCCAAAAAATGGGGAAAGTTTTATTTGAATATTAATAAGAAAATCCTTGAATTAGAAAATCATAAACTTAAAATGAAATAATGTGCAGATATATTGATTGTATAGATATCTGGTCTAACTTTACACAATAAGAATAAATTGACCCCAGTCAGGTCCAACCAATGAACAGAAAATTGGAATTTGTTGCTTCTCTTCAAAGGACGCTACATTTTGGACTAAGAGGAAAGACTGGTCAGTCCTTACTTAGAATAATTTGTCTGTGTATGGTGACACATGTGTCTACATGTAGCTGTAGACTGTTATCTTGTGAACTAGCAAGTTAAAATTCCGGCTTGATGACTGTGTCGATCTAGTTCTTTTCAAAGAAGGTTTTATATTCATCTAACACCAACATGTTCTCGTCCTGTTTAAAGCATTTAACTTGCCACTGGACGTTTTTAAAACAGTGTATTTGTTCAGAGGACAATGATGACATTTCTTGTCCACACCTATCTCTTTTCCCTAAGTGAGAATATAGGTTGAGACCTTGCAATCTATTTTATTACATATAAAAATTGTTTATATAAAATTGAGATTGTAAATGTTTTTTTTTTTAAATCAGTCGTTAGACCTTTCAGTCTGAGCGCTCTTAAAAATGAAAAGAAAGTCAAAATTGCGTCCATATTTTTAAAACTTAAATAACAACTTTAAAACAAAAAAAAGTATTGATATTTGATTTATAAATTAACCTAGTAACATAATAGATATCGTTTATTACATATATGTTATATTGCTTAATCAGAAGTGCATTTTAACTGATGATTTATTCAACAGTTCATAGTTACATTTATAAAATTTATATCAACTACTAGTTTGCTCATGCAATAATTAATTTTAATTTGATATTGCAAAACAAACAACAATTACATTGTTTATTCAAGAACATTAAAAATATAAAAATAATGTGGGACAATCAGAACTTTTCATGTGGGACAATCAGAACTCTAAAATTTTAAAAAGTGGGACAATCGGGAATAAACCCCAAATGTGGGTGTTAAATTGCACGTGCTTTGCGAGACAGGTCCTCCGATGGTCATTTAAATGTCAATTGTTCATTCAATGTGTATCAATTTGTAAATAACGAACCTTCATTGAGTACTATTTATATTTATATTGTAAATGTATTTCTGTTAGCCATTACCAGGGGCGGATTCAGGCGGGGGC